TTTATTTTCTGCCTTGATTTCATTTAAATACTTTTTGATATAACCTCCTGGGGGTCAGGATGGTTTTTCTCTACTTGTGTGGCAAACTTATTGCAGCAGATCATTAAGTACAGATATGGAATTGGATCCTTAGAAGGTGTAAGAAGCAACAGCTCCACTAACTTTCATTGAAGCTGTATTTATTTACGGCTACCAAGAACCTGGCCAATTATTCTACATTTATTTTACTGCTCTACAGTCAAACAGAGTCAACATCACGTTCTCAATGTAAACTAGCGTCAAGTAGGCAATAGACTCCCTTTCCTTTAATATAATTAATTCCCTCAAAATAATTAACTAGTAAACATTTCCACTTAGAATTAGCTCCAGGTAAATCAGAGAATCAGGTAAATCAGTTTGTTGTCCTAAGCTAAACATATTCTAATTATCCCCATGAAAGTTTCAAGACTGAACTGTAAAAAAAAAAAAAAATCTGTCTAAAACATTACCCATAGTTCCCCCCATACTACAGTAGGAAATGAAGCAATCCAGCCAGGACTTACAAGAAATGAATAGCAAAAGACAGTATTTGGGCAATGACATGACTTGTTTTTTACTGAGTTAAGAACTTGGAACTTGCCTTTCCTTCTAACTTAACTATCCCCCCTCATCTACTGCATGATTTCAAGGAAATTAATCCTTCCTTCCACAGTTCTTTAATGCTCTCTCAAAAGTTTCAGGCAAAAACACCTGGTCAAGCCAGATGGCTCAGAGCTACTCTTTTGTTGAAAACTGATTATTTGAGAGCTTACAGGACTCCTGTGGCTTAATTCCCACACCAATAGAGACATACTGAGAAATCATCACAGCTAGGGACAATGTCGGTAATTTCCTATAGCAATGTCAAGTTAAATATATTGGCTATGGAAGCCTATTCTTCTGTCAGACAGCAGATGTAACACTGTCAGTCTGGTAATCTACAAAGGATAAAAAGGCTACTAAAAAATTCATTACAGGTACAATCCTGACTCCAAATGGCTTTTAAACAACTTACAAATCTTTCCTTAAAAACAAAAGACTTTGACTCCTAACAGACAAGCTATCACACAAGTGAAAATGTCATACCTGGAAGTTAAAGAAACAGATTCTCCATTCACGGTAATGGGTGCTGCTTTACTAATTCCAGCACTCTGACTTCAACAGACCCGTGCCAATTTACAGTAGCTAAGAATTTCACTCAACATTCCCAATTATGTCTCAAATTCAGGGACAGGCACTGCACATCATCAACACATTCATTTCCGAAGAACATATGGGCAAAAGTATTGAGAAGCCTACAGTTATATGGGCAGAAGCCTACAGTTATAACTCTGTGGCTGTATTGAACAGACAGCAGTCTAATAAGGGCTTTTCTCATTCAGTATTTACTACAGACAATGAGACTAATATTTCATGCTACCTTTAAACCCAATACTAACACTACAACACAAATTATGTTTGGCAAGTGCCGCAACGCTGCACCAGGCAGCACATGCACACAAGACTAGGTCTGGCAAGGTGCTGAGAAATTTGGCCTCACTCCAGTAAAGCACTAATATCCATGCTTAACTTTCCATACAGAAGTAATTTCTTTGAAGTGAATGGAACTGCTGCTGCCCATAAAGTTAAGAATCGGCTTAAACTCTTTGCTGGATGGTATGCTGAGCAAGATGAATCCTTTGCACGTTAATCAGAACCATAGCACCTTTGCTGTGATTAACAGCAATCAGGTGCTGGCAACAATCAGCAAATGAAAACAGCAATGTGTATATGGACAAAAAAGATTCACATCCAAGGCAGACAGAGAGACTTGTGACAGAGCTGCAGCGTGAGACTACTGTATGTTTTTTTCTGAAGGCTGAATTTACACCAAAAAAACCACCTCAGACCCTGCATCAGGGTGGATAAAAATCTACGATTTAAAAAAAAAAAAATAGAGTTTTTATTTAAATCAGGTTTTTTGATTTAATCATATTTTTAAGAGGCTTTTAAAAAAAACCTTATATAAAGATAGTTTTAATTTAAAATATGTTAAAGCTCAAAGATATCATCATGGAATAGGGATTATAACTTCTAATTACAGTATATATTATTTGAGACAATATATTCATGTAACCTTAAATAGGTCAAAACAGGCCACGGAACTATATTAGGGACTCAATCTTATGGGGTTCTCAGAGGCTCCCCTATAGATTACTAAAGATTCAAAAAACCACTCTACCCAATGGGACACGGTGCTCAGTCTAGAAGATCCCATTAAGCATTTTCTATGATTCTCTCTCTGTGATGCTTAGTTTCAGTTCTCAGACTGGATTTGTGTCTCCAAAGATAACATCCTTGTTAAGAACAACATATGCAGATGAGAGATAACAGACCTGACTACCTACCCATTGACCCTCTTGTCCCTCTGCAAGTTTGCGTACACAAAGGCAAGCCCTTACCTTTCTCTGACAGTGCAAAGTTTCAAGAAGTTAAATGAATAAAAGATTTCAAACAAGAATGCATTTTTTGTAGAAAACCATGATTAAATCGAGACTTCCTGACCAGTGATTTAAATCATGATTTAAATTGATTCAGTTGAAATCAAATCCACCCCACCCTGCAGAGAGATAATGTAATGTTGTGTCCTCGTGAACACACCTGCACCATCTTACACATTCTCATTCAGATCATGAATTGTAAAGATCACCGGGACTTGTAACATGCATATTTATGTATGAGAGCTTTCTGGCAGCCCTCTGTTCCAACGGGTTCCCCAGAGACAAGTTTTCTACATTTCCATTTCCAGGTAGTGATAACAGTACAATACATTCATTTTGCCATGACTGTAGCTAGATATAAACACAGTTTTCTTAAAAGGGCTGGGGTGTAAGCTAAGTTTAAACTACCACTGCCTGCTGCATTTCTACACTTCTGTGATGCACCTGCTGTGTTGTGGCACATGGGTCTCCTTTATGACTGCTGCAAACAGTTTTTGAAACTCTATGTACTGACTGCCAGGTTATGCATTCAGTGTCTGCAGATTTTGAACCCTTTTGCTTTTTTGACTCTCTCTGACTTGCTTTGGAAGCAATTTTTATACCCTTTCATAAATGGGTAAGGAAGGAATACCATTGGGGTAAAATAAAATAATAGTAGTCAGGCAGGCATTATCCACCTAAGCTTAGCAGCCCATCAGGATAGTGTTGGATACAGCACACCAGTTTCAGTAGCCAATGGTACACAAAGGAACAAGGTGGCTAGCAATGACATTTGTGCACCCCTGACTCTCCTGCTCAAGCAACCAAATACCCATTTACTTCAGCTGGGTCAACTGAAACTAGCCTTTCACATGAATCCAAAGCACAGCTCCACTTCACACCTCTAGGGCAGCACAGTATTTTATTTACCATACCCCTGCACCCTTCTTAATACTAATAAAGAACAATTCTTATTATTTTACAATACTGCATGGAAGTGGACACAATTTAACATCGCTGCATTTTTGTAACACAATCACTGATATTGTTTAAATGAATCTCAGGGTCCTTTTCAAGTTATGGGCCTGACATCGAAAGTCAAGCAGTGATGGTAACTCTACTTCTTCTCAAGGAGTTCCAACCAACGTAACAGCATTGGTCAGTGAAGGACGAGTTACAGTGGAGAAGGGGCACAAAGGCTGCAGAATCCCTGGTGCTTGGAGGTTGCCAGGGCTCTCTTTCTGGAAGCCTGATCCCCTGTGGCTGCCCCCATTACTTTCTCAGCCTTGTTCTATTAGCCACAGCCCTCAGGATATGCATGGAGAGAAGAAGGTCATGGTTTCTGACATGAGGAGTGGCCTTGCAAAAACAGCATCTCATTCTGAATTAATTTTTCAGCTGATTTCCTCCGGTTGCCAGGAAACAGCAACCAGAAACTGCCACTCCTACCTTCCACTCCATGTGTGAATGCCTAACTGTTCAGAGGGTGGAGGCATGGGGACGGGGGAGGGGGCTGATTGGGGCTCTCCACGGGATAATTCAGGTAGGCTTCAGGACAGCCACAAACAATACAACTATCCCACAGCCAACACTTCAGTAGCCAGTGGTACACAAGGGAATGATGTATGCAAGGGAGCCCCAACAACCCTACCACCCAGCACTGTTGCTTTGTCTGTCTCAACCTGTTTGTGAGCCTATGCTGAAGCACAGAGGGACCAGCAGCAGATACAAGCTATCTCACGTGCATGGAGAGCATCAGGGAGAGAACAGGAAGCCTGGTGCATCAAGTTTCTCTTTGCCATCACCCAAACACCTCTTAAGGCCCCTGCTCAAGGTTACATATCATTCTGCAACCAACTGGTCACCCACACAATAAACTGAAACTGCAAAGAAAAGATCTCACCATGAATGGGTGAATGGTGCAATACACTCAGCCTGGCCATGCGTGCAAAGGAACACCCACACAATAGAAGGGGCAAGCCCACAAAAAAAGAGCTGCAGTACAACTCTGCAGCTGGCTTCTTCCAGCTGTCAGGTAGGCAGCTCACTGCGCTTCATAGTGTCATGGAGAAGTTGGGCTGGAAGGGACTCCAGAGGTCACCTAGTCCAACCCCCTGCCTAAGGCAGGGTCATTACCATCCAAATCATCCCATAAAACCATAGTCTACACTCTACACATGCCTACCCTCAACCCTGACACAACACAGACATAACACCTGGAGCAACCACAGGTAAAGCAAGGGAACCATGGCAGCCAACGTCCTACTTCTATGAAATGTTGACCTTGCACCATCTGGCTTTAATACGAATGGGTAGTGAGGCCGTTCTGCCCCATGCGGTGGGGCACACTTTATCCCCGCTAGCCGTCGGCCGCTGCCTTACACTCGCGCACAGCCCTGCTGAAAGAGAAGTGGGGCAGAGGCCCCTCTCTTCACGTGAAGGAGTGCTCGGCGGACCCAGGCCTGAAGAGGCCAGCCTGGCTCAGCCCCCCGGAGCCCCGAAGGGAGCAAAGTGCAGACTCACGCAGCCGGTGGAGTCGAAGTCGTTGGAGAGGCATTTCGGGTTGGCGTCCTGCAGGAACGCCAGGTCGAAGAGGCAGAGCGCAGTGTTGTCCCAGGCCGGCGCGGCCCAGGCCGGCTGCTCTGTTTGGTTGGCAAAGACGGCAGCCCAAAACCCCTGCTGCGGCAGGATGCTGGAAGCCAGGATGTGGCCGCGGCAGCCGCAGCTCAGGCGCACCTGGGAAGGAGTGTGGAAGTGCCCTCTGCTGTTGAGCACCACGACGCTGGGCGGCCCATGGGGCAGGCGGTAGTAGGGGAAGAAGAGGTGCTCGTGCCACAAGAAGGCGTCCACAAAGTGCAGCGGCGCGTGCTTGTACTTGAGCACGTCGAAGCTGTCCGTGGGCATCAGGTCCCCCAGGTAGCGGATGGTGAGCACGGTCTTGGCCTCCGAGGGCACCAGGCCGCAGCTGAACTGCCCGTCCACCGAGTAGGTGGCGGCCACGGCCACGTAGTCGCCCCCCGCCCAGCGGAAGACGACGCCGGCCGTGGAGCCGCGGGGCAGGCAGCTCACCACCTCGCTCTGGTTGCGCTCCACCTTGAGCCCGCGGAGCAGCTGGCAGGTGCCTTTGTGCAGCGTCCAGCCCGCGAGCGTCCTGTTGTCGGTGCCGTAGGGCAGCAGCAGCTTGCTGTGGGCGCCGGCGGGCTGCGCGCACTGCCCCGCCGGGCCCAGGTGCAGCACGTCCCGCGCCCGGCTCAGCGCCGGCTCCAGCTCGAACAGGCAGCTGCCGCCCGC